GTTCAGAAGACACCATGACGCAGGACGCGGAGGGTCACCCCCTGCTCACGATCGGTCAGGAACAGCAAAACCACCTGTGGGAGGCTCTCCAGCATCCAGTGGACCCCGCGAAGGTGCCCAGCTACGTAAGGGACTCGTTCGCATACAACTTGGACGTGGACGCGGCCATGCATGTAGGAGCAGCCTTCGCAGGTTGGGTTGCACGCTTCGAGGGTTTTTTCTGTGCCATGCTAGATGTGCATCCGAAAGATCAGCAGAGATTAAAGGGCCGTGCGGTTTTAAAGGAATTGCAGAAGCGACCTGAGGCCCAGGGAGCCCATTTCGTGTCGTCTCGGGATCCTGTGGCCCATTGGTGGGCCACGGTTAGTTTTCTGCTCTCTGATCTGGTGGGTTCCCTGGGCGACCGAACCAAGCACAGGCCGAGTAGGCTCTTTGACAGACTCAGGGATATGGCAGCATCAACGCCTGTTTCTGCCGCGCTGCCTCTCCCTGCTAGAACTCGCGCTGAATGGGTCCGTGGCCTTCGTGTTCTCAGAGAAGCTTCGGACCAGACGATCAGAGATTTCGAAGTTAGAGCCAAGCAGAATTCGGTGCGAGCGCAGAGAGCTGTTTTGAATAATACCCTAACCTATTTCCACCAGTGGGTTATGCAGCAGGACCAGGCTGGAGGTCGAGGTCTGTATAACCGTATAAGGGATAAGTCGGTGTTTGTGGGGGAGGTTAGGGCTCGGGGGGTGACGGCTCTGGACTCTTGTCAGAGGATGGCCGTGAAGGCCGACATATGGTCGCGCAAGTGGGCAGGAGACAGCTTGAGTTTTCCCAGGGTCCGAGCTCTTTGGCAGAAGGCCCAGGCCAGGGCCAAGCAGAACCCGCGGCCCCCGCTTGGAGCCGACTGGCTCCGTAGGGTCATCTCGGCCCTGCCTGAAAAAGCGCCTGGTGTTGATAGGCTGTCCAAGAAAGATTTCCAGTGGTTGCCGCCGCTGGGTCTGCAGCAGCTGGCGGATTTCTATAACCTAGTGGAGCAAAGGGTCAGCTGGCCTTGGCAGGCGCTAGTTGTTTTAGTCACGCTCCAGGTCAAAGACGTGGATTCCGACCGTGCGATTGGCCTGCTTGCTTGGATTGTCCGCTTCTGGGGGCGTTTGCGTACCTCGGACCGAGCTGGTTGGACCAAGGAGCGAGCAGGACCGTGGGACACGGCCCTGGCAGGAAACTCAGCCCTGCAGGCCGCGCTGCTCAGATTGTTCAGGGATGAGCAGGCTGCTCACTCTAGTCTGCCAGACCACCAGAGCGCGAGTCTGCTCTGGGATGTTAAAGGTTTCTATGACAGCCTCCGCTGGGATCTTGTCCTGGAGCACGCTCTAGAGCTCGACTTTCCCCCTTGCTATTTGGCCCTGGAGCTCCAGGTCCACAGGGCTGCCAGGTTTTTGAGAGAGGCTGGAGGTTTTTCACTTGCGGTGCAGCCAGGAATGTCCTTGATCCCAGGCAGCAGTGGTGCGGTCGACCTAGGTAGAGCTGCCCTGCATTTCGTCTGCAGTAAGATAGCCACGGGCAGACCTCTACCAACACTGCACACCTGGGTAGATGACGTAGTGCAATGCATGTACGGTGACAGTGAGAGAGTTTTTTGTGAGCTCTCAAAGGTGGGCCTGGAATTGGTCCACGGCCTGCGCGCGATCAAACTCCAGATTGCTCCCAAGTCGGCCATCATTTCGTCCTCGGGTCCCTTGGCTGCGAGACTCAAGGATTTCTTCGCCGACCAAGGAGTGCGCGTGCAGGCCAAGAGTGTTGCTGCGGATCTAGGCATAGACCGAGGCCGAGTCAGGGCATCCAGGCCCAAGCAAGCCAGCAGGAGAGCCGGGGCCGAGCGTAGGTTACAGCGTCTTGGCAAGCTGGCTCGGGGCAATCGTTGGTGCAAGAAATGGGCCCGCAAGATGGCCTTGACCTCGGCCTTTTCCAAGACTAGGTACTCGGATAAGGTCCATGGTACACCTCCCTCCGTCGTTCTTGGTTGGAGGCGGGCTCTTGGGAGGCTCACGGGGGGTGTCGCGAAAGGAGGGAGGTGCCTGACCACTCTGCTAGCGCTGGAGCACGGCAGACGTGACCCAGCCTTTTTCGCGATGTTTGACACGATCGAGGCCTGGTTTCAGATTTTGACCCACAGCAGTTTTGATGCTGACAAGACCCGAAGGGTCTGGAGGAAAGTCCTTGCCGAGCTTGAGCCCAAGCCAGCAGGAAAGAGATGGCGAAGCATAGGCACTCCTGTCGCTGCCACGATTGCCACTCTGCTGGACGTGGGCTGGAAACCTTGGGGTCCTTGGGCCTGGGAGAGCGACCTGGGTGAGCGGTTCGCGATTTCAGAAACCAAGCTCGGGCAAGGCAAGGTTGATCTAGCTGACCTGTTTGAAGCTCTGGCCCAGAGCAAAGAACGGCAGCTCTGGGAAGCTGCTGCTGTGAACTCGTGGAACGGGGCTGGGCTAGAGCAGGTCCCAGACCTCACAGACTTTAAGAGGCAGCTCCGCACGCTTGCTAGGAAGGGTAAGTTTGAATGGAGGGGCATCTTGCGGGCTGTGGCCATGGGCAATAGTTGGCCACGCGCGAGGCTCCAAGATTGTGGGCTCACTCAGGACAGCTCCTGCAAAATATGTGGGGAGTTGGTCGAGTGTGATTTGCACAGGGCTTGGAGCTGCCCGAAGAATAATGATTTCTCTAAGGTCTCTGATTTCGTTCGGAGACGAGCTTTAGCTGATTGCGAGAGTAATCCCAGCTTCTGGCTGCGGGGGCTGACGCCTAGCAGCTGGACCGCCGTGCCCCCTCCCCCCGACGGTGAGGAGTTCCAGACCTACGGGGGTGACTTGAGGGAGGCGGTGGTGGATGGTTTCGTTTTCGGTGGAGGAGATGCCAGCGGGGGGCCTGACACCCAGGACCCAGCCCTCCGTAGAGTTGCCTGGTCTTGGGTTGTTTTCCAGGGCATACGTGAGGGGTGTGTTTATGACCCTAGTGAGCTCCAGGCCCAGACAGTCATGTTTGGGAATGTGCCTGGATGGAGGCAGTCGGTCAACAGGGGGGAAGCTCTCAGTTTCCTGCAGTTTCTCAAAGCTGTCCTCCCTGTTGCGGATGCCTTTTTTGTGACGGACTCGAGCTATGTGGTTAAGAATTTCAGCAAAGTCCGAATGGGGATAGACCCCAAGTCTCATCTTGACGTGTGGCAGGCTGTCAAACTTTTGATGGCTGAGCATCCGAACAGATCTGTGGTGCTAGCCAAGGTTGAAAGCCACCGTAAGGTAGAAGAAGTCAGCGACCAGGGAACCGACCCCTTGTTTTTTCTGTTGAATGATCTCGCTGACCGAATAGCGGACCAGTGGGCTAAGGATATTAGAGTTTCGCACGCAGTCAGGGACACCAGGTCCCACGCCCAGGCGATTGCTTTCCAGGTCCGCCAGCACCTCGGTCACAGTTTGATGGCCTCCATCGAGGCCGATGGTTTCCGTGCTCCTAGAGAATCGGCCTTGCGGCCGAAGAGGAGGGAGATCAACATCCAGCTGCTCTTGACTGCTCACCAGCCTGTTTGGGGGATAGGTTCCCAGGTCCGCTGTCACTGCTGTGGAGGTTGCGCGCCATACAAGATGGCCGACAAGTTTTTGGCCACCCCATGCCACCAGGGCCTTTTCAGGGGTATGATCACGGTGCCAACTAAGAGCACCGTGAACGGCAAAGACCTGCATAGCTCCCACACCTTGGCTTATCACAAGGAGTTCGGGAGCACGGTATGTCTTTCTTGTGGCTGTGTAGCCACTCAGGCCGTCAGGAAATTAGCTGGTCCTTGTGCGACCAAGCTGAATGCATATGGCAAGCTACAATTGAGGAGGTTACAGCAAGGCCTGCCACCAGGTTCCTCAAAGCTTGCCCAGACACAGCTGGCCCAGAAGAAGGCCTTGCGATAAACCGTGGGCGGAAGTACAGGCGTGGGTTTGTCTACCCAGCGGGGGGCGCGGTGCGAGTGGGGACTGCCCGGCGGTGCGCCGTTAGTGACCCTCGCACCGTTGCTCCCCGGCCCCGCGCACGGCGCGGGGAGTTCAACTCTGCCTCTGGCTGGATGGAACAAAACGCGCGAAGTGGAGAGTCGAACCGCTGCTGGGCGGCACACGTTCCATACGGTTGAACGCGAACGCACTACACGAATATGCTCTCTACGTGGCTGCGTACGGTTATTTAGCGGCACAGTCGCCGCGAAAGCGTTGCTTTGATGTATTTCCCGGGCCCTCACAAGTGAATGCGGAAAATTGGCTACGACGAACACAGCGATAAATGTTACGGATGATCCGAATCCTCCCCGCGACGCCGGCAAGAGACGGAACATGCAACATTGACGACAACTAGTTCTTCGAGTGATGCCGACATCGGCGACGCCGCGACGTTGGACGGCGATTAAATAAGCGGAACTATTTGTTTGGAGCCATGGGCAGTGGACCAAGAGGATCACGCATGAATTGAAACACTTGTTGGCTTGATTTGAAACTGACGACTGGATTGTTTCCCAACCCAGGAGGAAGCAGAGCTGGGCGGCGCAAGCGTCGTTTGATTGTCATAAATCTACGTGCGAAGCTTTGTTTTGGGAACCCCACCTATACGCAGAAGCCCAACAACCAATTCGCGAACAAGCTGAACCAACAATAGGATGGGTCGACGATGGGCGTCAGCATGGGCAAATACGCTTGGGCCTTAATGCTGACGCTGACGCTGGGGCCGACTTGGCCAAAACACGAACCTGGACTGAGCTGGAGCGTAGTTTTGCACACTCGAAGAATTCCTGCTGGCCGTTTGCTTATTCATGCTGTAGTCAATTGCAAGCTTGTGGGTGCTCCAGCCTCGCCCCGCTGAGTCCCTTCGCGTGGACAGTCGTGCGGGCACCGTTCACCGTTCGCACACCAAATCAATCCTTGATCCTCGACACCCCCCCCCGTCTTCCTCCCCACCCCACCCACTCCCGAAAGCCGCGCCAGGTTTGCCAAGCGGTCGGGGTCAAGGGCCCCATGCCGACCAGGAAGACGGCCGAAAAGACCACGAGCTCAGTCGGCAATGTTCAGGACCACCTTTTTTCCATGACGAAGGGGGGAAGGATGGGGAGGAGGGGGAGGATGGAGCATGACAGGGAACATGAGAGGCACGAGGGGAAGGAGGAAAAGGGCGAGGAGGAGAGCGGAGAAAAGGAGGAGTGATGATGATGATGATGATTATGATGATGATGATGATGATGATGATGATGATGATGATGATGATGATGATGCTGAGGAGGAGGATGAGGAGGAGGAGGAGGAGGAGGAGGAGGAGGAGGAGGGGGAGGGGGAAGGGGGAGGAGTAGGAGGAGGAGGAGGAGGAGGAGGAAGAGGGAGGGTGAATGGGGGGAGCAAGAGGAGGAATGAGAGGGCGAGGAAGTTGGAGGAGGTGCGAAAGTGGATGAGTAGGGGGGGGAGGAGGTGCGGAGAGCGGAGAAAAAGCAAGAGGAAGGGGGAAGAAGGAGGATGAGGGTGAATGCGGAGAAGGGTAGCAGGAGGACCAGATGAATTCGAGTATGAGGGATGGGAGGTTGATGATGATGATGATGGTGATGGTGATGATGCTGATGATGATGATGATGATGATGATGGGGACGATGATGATAATACTGATGGTCATGTTCATGGTCATGGTGATGACGATGATAGTGATGGTGATGGTGATGGTGATGGCCATGCTGATAATGATGATGATGATGATGCTGATGATGATTATGATGGTGCTGATGATGATTGGGATGGTGATGCTGATGATGATGATGATGGCGATGGCGAGGGCGATGGTGATGATGATGGTGATGATGATGATGATGATGGTAATGATGATGGTACTGATGATCAACATGATGCTGATGCTGATGATGATAATGATAATGATAACGATGGTGATGGTGATGGTGATGGTGAATGTGATGATGACGATGATGTTGATGATGATGCTGCTGCTGATGCTGATGCTGATGAACATGATGATGATAATGATGAAAAGGAGGAGGAGGATGAGGATGAGGATGAAGATGAGGATGATGACGATGATGATGATGATGATGATCATCATCATCATCATGCTGATGCTGATGATGATGATGACGATGATGATGATGATGATGATGATGACGATGATGATTATCGTCGATGGTGATGTGAGGGAGAAACAGAGGAGAAGGAGGAGGCGGATGCCACCCGCCTGGGCCAGCGGAATGACCGAGCAAGCCCGTGGAAGCAAGGCGAGGGGAGTTCCGTCGCCAGAAACCTGGCAGCGGCTGTCGTGAACTCCCAGAAACCTGGCAGCGGCTGTCGTGAACTCCGGCGTTCCCAAACGTTGCATTTTTTCGTCCAGACTTCGTCGTTGAAGTTTAGGGACTTTTGAATCCCCTCTTGCGCCTTGTGCTCCAGATACTGCAGATCCCAGCTGCCATCGGCGACTTGCTTTCTCTCTCTCTTTCTCTCTCGCTCCTTCCCTGACTTCACTGCAGCCCGGGGTGGTTTAGACGATGAGCAAAAACGTACATCGGCTGGCAGTCGGCTGTTTCATCGATTGTAACAGACGGCTCGACCGTGGAGTACTCGGCATCGCTCAAGGAGTTCACGGGCCTGCCTATGAAGGCGCAGCCCCGGCCGGCAGCAGTGCCTTTGTCTCGAATTCTTTACGCGAGTTCCCACCAGTGCATCCAGAAACGATGCCCAGGCGAGTTGCCTCTCAGAGTCTCCTCGGATGTCTCTTGGAAGCTTTTTGGAGGCCTCTTGGGGGCTTCCTTGAGGTCTTCTTAGAGCCCTCTTGGAGCCCTCGCGGGGCTCTCATAGGGTCTGGGAGAGCCCCGGGACTGACAAGCCGTTTAGGATGAAGGGAGGAGGAGGAAGACGAAACGGAGAAGGAGAAGGATAATGTAAGAGAAATCAAAACAAATTGTATGTTGAGGAACCGGAGGAGGGGAGGGAGGAGGTGCGATGAGGAGAGAGGGGAAAGTGAGAATACAAGAACGAGGTATGATAATAATCTGTTTCTGCGACAAAACGGCACATAACGTAAACATTGACACGCGGTATAGAGGAGACAAGGAACGATCATAATTGATGATAATATCAGAATTATGTGCTACGCACAATTTGTTATATGTCAAATATGTTTTCTGGCAAATCAGTCGTGTGGCAAACATGTTATATGGTACGCGTGCAACAATGGTATCAGTGATCTGGCCCACGTGCACATATGTATATATATATATATATATATATAGATTACCCGTCATCTGGCAAACCTGTTCTCTTGCGAATATGTCTTCTGGCAAAGCTGATATTTGGCAAGTCTGCCATGCGGTAAATACATGATCTGGCACGCGTGCCAATCTGATACTCATTACCTGTCAAACATGCAAATATGTTTCCGTTATCTGGCAGACGTGCATCTATGTTATCTGTTATTTTGCACACGTCGTGGGCCGCCAAGAGCATTTGGAACTCTTTGGGGCTCTATGGGACACACGGGAGCCTTTTGCCTCTCTGAAACATCTTGGGCCCTCTCGGACTGTCTGGCCGCGCATCGAAGTGATGGCGGTGTCTTTAGAACCATCATGGCACCTTCGTGGGCTGTCCTGGAACGCTCTCGGGCTGTGTGGGGCCCGCCGGAAGGCTAGAGCCTCATTCGGAATCAGTTGGTTGAGTATGTCTCGAGCGAAACGCCCATGCTGCTACAATGGGAGAAGTCTTTCTCACCATGGACGAGAAAAAGCGGAGGGCACAAGGCATTCCTCAAGAAGATAACGGTTAATGAGAGCAAAACGTGTACAACACAAAAGGAATCAGAGAGTACAGGAAATAATTACGTGGATAAAGGAGCAACGGGACGAGCACACATTATGAGAGTAACGGGCCCATCTCATTTGGCAGATCTGTTATCTGGCAAATATATTATTTGGCAGATATGTTATCTGGCAGCGGCGCAGTAAGTGGGCAAACGTGCAAGTATGTCGTCCGTGATTTGGCAAGTCTGACATCCGGCGAATCTGTTATCTGGCAGATCCGTTCCTGGTAAAATTGGCATCTGGCAGATCGTATCTGGCATACCCGCAAATAGGCTCTCCGTTATTTGGCAAATGCCTAAACATGTTTTACATTATTTTGCAAATGCGCAACCCCCGTAGACACCCCAGAGGTCCATCACGGAGCAGCGGATTTCGGTTCATTGCCCCTCGCTTCGCCTGGGCTTTGGGGCACCGGGATGTGTTTCACTGTCCCTTCGTGTGCTCCCGTACATCATATACAGCGCAAGTACGATACCATGCAGGCGCTATACAATCCATGTTCTATACGGAAAGGGCCATAAGAAAGGCAGGGCGTGTCGAAACCAGATATATACGACTCCGAAAGCAAGACATGTTTTATATTTGGGATACCGTATCATGCGATTGTCATATGCAAAGCATGCCGTATGCAATAATTGCAATACATATATATATGTATATATATATGTATTGTAAGCCATATGCTATGCAATACATACACACATCATGTCGCATACAAAACCTGTCATATACAATAGGCTCAAAATATAGCACTGCCCATCTACGAGATCATGGGCTCGTCGTCTGGCAAGCCTGCTCCTGGTAAAGCTGCCTCATGGCAGATCGTATTTGCCATACCTGCAAATATGCTACCCGCTATCTGGCAAATGCGTAAAGCCGTTATCCATTATTTGGCAAACGCGCAATTCCCGTAGACACCTAATTGGTCCACGGGGCAGCGGATTTCGTTTCATTGCCCCTCGCTTCGCCTCGTCTTTGGGGCTGCGGATTGTGTTTCAGTGCCTCTCTGCGTGCTGCCATACATCACATCATATACAATGCAAGTGCGGTAGAAGGCAGGTAATATATCAGACATGTCGTACACGAAGCGGGCGTAGCCTGCCTGGGCCGTCTTGGAAGCCATGAGGGACATCGTGGACGCCCAGGAAATCGCCCAACGTCATTTTATCATCTTTCCATCGGTTACACTCTATGTTGGAACCCTATATGGGCCGCATACATACCCCGAACATGTAGGTTATATGACATTCCACGGTTCCTCAATACATTCGAACATCCTGCTGTACATCGACATTCAAAATCAC